GCATATAAGTACAAATAACAATATAAAGCCTGGTTCATATCCCAATAATATGAAGGATTAAGATTAATAATTAGGCCAAATGCACAAAAAAAGTTAGAAAATATTTACAATTCCTAGAAAAGTTAGCCAAAATTGAAAAAGTCTCAAAGTATCAAATATTCACTAAAGAAGCACTCTAAAACAACACTATTTAACACTTAACACATTTATACAAATAAACTTTAACAATAATAAATATTGAAATATAAGTCATTGCCTATCAGGAAATCAACAATACGAACAAACATTTAAAATTTTAATAAAAAATTTCGCTTCACTCATTCACCCCTTCCCCACACTTAAGATAACATTTTCCTCAATGTTGGGAATAAAATAAAGAAATAATAACCAAAAAAAGAGATGAAAGTGAAACTCCCCTGATAATAAATGAATTTAAAAAATCAAGTGGGGTGAGAAAAGTTGCCGTTACCATCCAATAGTGAAGTTTAGGAAGCCATCCTACCAATGTTGAAACATTCACCCCTTCCCCATACTTAAGACAATATTGTCCTCAATGTTGGGGACAAAATAAAGAAATAATAACAAGAAAAAGAGATGAAAGTGAAACTCCAAGTGGGATGAGAGAAGTTGTGTGAGGATCCGAAAATTTTCTTATTTTCGTCATATATTACTGGTTTACTTAAATAGTTATTCACTCATTTTCTCCGAATTATTTAATTCGACTACTTAAAATCCATTTATATGGAAAAACACCTCTCTTATGTTTTTAAAGCGTTTTGTTAGAAAATTTACTTTTCGAAAACTCGTTTAGTTCGGAACAACGAGTACGCGTTTTTCGCAGATATACTTGAATCGGGAGTGTATTAATATTGAAGAATTAAGAATGATCAATAGTAGATTAAGAAAGGTTAATTGAGGAATTAACACTCGACTCATGTGAGGACTCGCAGAATTTCCTATTTTTAAACTCTTATTACTAGCTCATTTAAATATTTATTTGGCCATTTACTTCGAATATTATTTTCTAACCTTATTGGATCTAATTACATGGAATTATAGCCTCATTATATTTTATAAGTGACTTGTTTCAAAAATTAATTTTTGGAAGCTCGTTAAGTGAGAACAGCGAATACGCATTTGGAGACTATAGCCGATTTTGGAGTATAATAAGCTTGGAGAATTGGAGACTTTCAACATGGTCTTAAAAATAGGTATTTTTATGTTTAAGTACTCAAGTGATAGTTAGTGATACAATCGTTATAAGAATTTCTTGAAAGTTTCACTCTACCGCACCTAAATTGGAAGTACGCGTTTTCACACGCGCGATTTAATTGAGGGACTTTAGACCCTTATTTTGGGACAACTAAGAGTGAATAATATTAATATAAATATAAGTGCATTAGAGGTTTATTGCACTAGTGAAACAAACTCGAGAGGAATCGAGCACAAAACGCGCGCGAAGGGGAGTTGACTTTTGTACCAACTTGGGCCACACATTAAAGCTTCTCTTGGAAGCTTCATTTGATCAATACATTCTCTCTCCTAGTCTCTCTTGGCCGGCCATCAAGCTGCAAAAATAACCCAAGAGCTCTTCAATTTTCCATCTCCAAATCTTGCACAAATCATCAACCAAATCAAACCAAAATTGAACTACACCTAGTTGAACACTTGGAGATTGTATCAAGCTAAAAAAAAGGGGGAGCTTTTCACGGTTTTCTTGGAGCAAGGAGGGACCGAAAATTTCTGTTTTGCACACCAAGTGAAGTAGGTAACGATCAAACCTTGAAAACTTGGTTTATGGAAGTTCTAGTGCTCATATATACTCATGCATGTTAGTGGGTAGCATTATTTTGAGGAAATTTTGGTTGTGTGGGCTCTATAAACTCTCACCTTGGATGTATGGACTGATTTGTGGTGTTTTTCTGGTAATGATGTTTATTTAGTGCCTAAACTAGTGGATTAATGTTGGGTTGTTGATAGAAACTCAAGGTGGTGCAATAACCAAAAGTGACCATTTTGCCCCTGCTTTGTTCGAGCACTTTGGTGTGAAATTTTGAGGTTCTAATGGCTTTCTTATGTTGTTTACATGTTATATTGAGTGTGTAAAAAGTTTCATTGAAAAATAACTTGATTTGGTCACCCAAATATTGGATTTACGAAAGCTTAGGAATCTGGAAACTATTCCCGTATTCACCCAGGCAGTGTTTTTGTTTTGGCTATAACTCATCGTTTCGATGTCGGAATCAAGTGCCGTTTGTGGCACTGGAAACTAGACATTCCCAGCTTTCATTTGGTATAAAATGGACATTCTGGTTCCACTCGAGTAAGCCAAACCATTCGTTTGAAAATTTCTGTCCTGTTTCATTTGTCACTGGGAGGCAGATTATGAACTGCGATTTGATGCTCACGTATGAGCTGGTTATGGACAGATCTTGAAAATGGTTTCTTCTGAGAAAATGTAACCTTATGAATGTATTTTTCAACGCCACCAACCATGCTCAATTCTGAGTTGAATTGAGTGATTTATAATCAAAATTCGAAACTGGTTTTGTGAAGGAAAACCATGCATTTGGACAGATTTGAAACTAACGATGCTTTGGGACTTGTTATCCGAAACTTCTTGGTGTAAATCACCTATAAAATGTACCTTGGGCATATTTTAGACATTATCTACTGGAATGGACCATATTTGAGATGTTTCTTGGCCAAATGTTTGAAAACGGCAAAACGAAAGTTCAAAGGCAGCTTAGCTTTAGAACTTCTTGTGATTTCAACGGTCTCGTTAACTGATTTTCCGTACATATTTTGCTATGAAATTTGGCAAGGGAGTGGCCCTTATATGGTAGTATATTCATGCTAAATTTGGTGCCATTCTGAGTCCGCTCAACTAAACTTCCAAAGTTCATGATTTGAGTTGGAAAACCCTTGATTAACAAGGAAATTTTAGTAACTTTGAGCTACCATATCTTAGTGCTCAAAACTCCGAATCTTGTTCCGTTTATTTTGTTTTAAACTTGGATTGCAACTCTAATAGATTTCCAAATTTCAGAGGTTAGTTCAGATCAAGTGAATTTTGCCAAATTTTCAAAATTGGCCAAAAACCAACCTAAATCTGTCTTCAATGCCCCAGAACAGCAACTTTGAGCTAAATTTTGGATATCTTCCGTTTGGAATCATGGAAAATTGTCTTCTAAGAACTTTTAGTACTTTCTACGAGTTTCCAACGGTACCAAGTTTTCCAATTCTGGACTTATAGAGAATGAGATACGATTTTTCAAAGTATGGGTGACAAATCTGAAATTTCCGAACTTAAAGGAAATTGAGGGTTGCGAACTCTCTATTTTCCTTCGATATTGCTAAACCGTTTTACACTTGATTTCAAAATGAAAATCAGATTTCACTTGTGTTTTAAAACCCCATTTTTGAGTCTCGATTTACGAGTAATTAAGGCTCATTTTCGTGAAATTTTCTTAGATTGTACAAGTGTGCAATCTTCCTCGATATTTAGGGGTTTTAAGCAATAGTGTGTAATAAACAATTACTATTTGCTCAGGTGCTTAAGGAGACCTTCAAGAGGATCTCGAGGGGAACACCTAAAGGCTCGTTTATGCACTTACTCCTTTGTTTCGATTGGTGAGTGTCAAGTGCATGAATTTGTTGCTAAGTGATTAACTGTTTCTTATCCGTTATACGAATTTAAACTTTGTGAGACGAATGTGTACTTTACCGCACTCGTTCTCCTTCAAATGAAATTATATTTGTATTTGGCTATGTGAATTCATATTCGACTTGTACTTAGTAATGTGGATGTGATTCCTATTTGTGATTCCTATTTGGAATCGTCGATTTGAGCGTTGCTCATCGACTTATATTCGTATTCGGGGGACGCCCAAACTCGTTGGCTAACTTTGCGAATTCAGCCAGCATGGGTTTGGTCGATAAGCTTAGCAAACCATGAGATATTCGTAGAGCATGATCTATTGGAGAGATCTTGCTCGGCATTACTCGCGCAGTATTGCCATGATATACTCGAGTATTATCAAAAACTTTGATGAGCGGGCCCGATAAGGGGGTGTAACGGTGACGGGATTCGAAGTAAAGTGGTGTATCTACGGATTTGATACTTATGTGGTTGACGGAGTGTCAACATGAGATGTGATCAAGATTTCGACTCGACTACGTGAAATTTAGCTCCTGAGAGCTACAGTATCCTTGAATTGTTTCTGTTTATTTTTTTTTCTATTCGAAATGTGAATTATTCGAACTTATAGCTTTACTAACTATGTAAATTGTGGCTACTTGGATTACATGTTTGCATGTGTGTTTCTTGGCCTCACTGAGTATTGGCTCATCCCATTAGTTTGTTTTCCTTAACAGGAACCCGATTGGAGGGAGTTAAGCAAATGCCGACTTGAGGCACTTTGGTATTAGTGTTGTAATTGTAATCGACTAGACATTTTGGAGGTTGTATATTTTGGAGAAAGTGATTGTAAATTTGAAATTGTGATGTAAGACTGGATATTTATGTATGAAAATGATTTCGTACCTTTATTCCGACTTTCATTGTTAGTATTAGACTAGGTTTGAATTGGATTTGTCTCGAGTCTTGGCGTGAGCTGGGCAGGCGTCCCGCGGATACCCTTGGGTTCGCCCTTGGGAGAAGTGGGGGCGTCACAAGTTGCCGTTACCATTCAATAGTCAATCGCAGGAAGCCATCCTACCAACCTATTAAAAGACGAGAAAACACTACAAATAGGTGTTAAATACACCACTAAATTACCCAAACTAGAAAGAAATAAAATTGTAAGGAAATAAATACCACCATTAATCCCAAAAAAAAGAAAAATATTAAATAAAATTAGAAAGAAGTCGGGTTGCCTCCCGTGAAGCGCTAAATTTTATGTTTTTAGCCAGATGGAGCAAATGCAATTATGGCGGATGAAATGGATTAGATGATTCCACTCCATTTGACGCATAATATTGATCATCAAAACTCGTTTTCAAGCCATCCAAGAGGAATACTGGCAATGATTTAGCCCGAGCATCAACTCCAAACCTTGCTTTATAACATACTTCTCACTGGATAAATCTTCAAGAGCATTAAGATATGAACAAGATTCATAAGAAGGGTAATTTAAGATTTCAAAAATATTAAATTCTTACTTTTCCTTACCAACTCTTATAGTCAATATCTCTTCTAATAAGTCTATATTAGCCCCTCCTGTAGCTAAAAACTCTCTACCAAGGATAATTGGCATAGAAATATCCTCCCTCATATCAAGAACAAGAAAATTAGCATGAAAATAAAATTTACCAACTTTAACCAATAGATCTTCTACTATACCAACAAGATAACGCACTGAACGATCAGCCAGTTATAGAATCACTTGAGTAGGCCCCAAATTGGCAAACTTTAATTTCTTGAAAAATGATAGAGATATCAAATTAATACTAGATCCAAGGTCATACAAACATTTATCAACAAAAATATGTTCAATTGACAAGGTACAGTAAAACTCTCTGGATCTTTCATCTTAATAGGAAGATGATTTTGTAGCACTACACTGTATTTCTCAGTAAGAGACACCTCTGCAAAGTTTTCTAACTTCTTTTTATCAGACACTATTTCTATCAAGAACTTTGCATAGACAAGTATATTAGCAAGAACTTTAGGAAAAGGCATGATCACTTGAAGTTTCTTGAGCATCTCCACAAACTTAGTTGTCTTTTTCTTAAGCCTTTGGGGAAAAAGGATAGGCAGCATACAATCTTTCACCTTAGGCACCTTCATACGTTGATTATCTTCATCTTGAGTCATTTCACCTGAACAATTCTCTGAATCTCCAGCTTCTTCACTTTTAATAGCAATTCCTGTGAGAACCCTAAAATTTTCACATTTCTTAGCCTTTTGTTTATTCTCACTTCCCCTTGTTAAGTGAAAATGTGTTAACCATTTGTTTTCAACAAAGGAAGGTTTTGATATTACGTGTATTTGGGTGAACGATATGTATATACGTGTATGTGTTGGAAGTACGGTTGAGCGCGGCAATTGAACTAGGATTATTTTATTTCGTTGCCTACATTTTATACTTTCCTTGGAAATATTAAAATTTCTATGCATTTTTACAAGCAAGTACAGTTTTAAATTCATTTTTCTAGTATGAGTTAGCGAACGTTAAATTTGAAACGCATTATCGATGTGGGGCCTGCTAGTGCGATAAATGTGGTGATTAAGAGTGAGTTTTAGATGATATTAAATGTGTGATTAGAAGTAATAATAATAAGTTAGTGAATTGTAAGTGAAAACCCTAGTATGTATGAGTTAAGGAAGTGAGAATTCGATATTTTTCTTATTTTCTAGCTCTTATTTTACTTCCGAGTAGACATTTTCTATACTTTCCTTTATTATATTAATTTTCTAGCTATTATTATGAGGGACTTAAGTTCCAAGACATTTTTCGCTATAAGATAGTTCATGTGACATTAGTAGTGAACGTGGGACCCGCTAGTGCGATACACGTAATATTTTTTTTTTACAACTAGTTGGTGAACTATGGAGTTAATTGCAAAGATTAAAAGTTATTGGAGCCATAGTGTGAGACTTAGCAAAGTAAGATATTAGTAACCTTGAAGCTTCTAAGGTCTTCCTAAGCTTCAATTTGATTGGTGGAGGAAAAGTGACCTTTGACCTTAGCTTAAATATCTAGGATGTTAGTAAATGAGAAGGAAAACAAAGCAAAAACTCATAGAAAATAGAGAGAGAGGGCCGTGAGCCTTGAGGAAAACCAAGAGGAAAGAAAACTTCAATTGCATCTTGGGTTTGCTTGATTTAGTGAGAACAAGAAAAAACTAAACCGATTAATCATTAGTTTGGAAGCTTGGGAAGTTTAAGGAACCAAAAATTTCAAGCAGTAGTGGAGGATCACTGTTGCAAGGTCTTGTCTTGAGGTATAATGGCTTATCACTCTTTCTTTCTCCATTAATCATGATTAAGTTGGGTATTAATGTTAGACTTGTGCTTGTGATGCTTGTTTCAAATGGTTTTGATGATTGGAGGGATGAATATTGAGTTAGGGTTTTGATTTATTCACTCATATTTCTTGTGGGTTAGGTGTTATATGGTGTATATATATGGAATATAATCTTGTAAAGGAGAAAGTAGTGGTAATTTTAAGGTAAAAATGTGAATTATAGTTTGACTATAACAAAAGTCCATATTTCTGGAAATTCAAGCTTCAGTTCTGCCTGGTTCCAGTTCGTGATGTTAGAGGCCGAATTAGGGTTAGTATAAAACATGAAAGTTGTATAGAATGATGTTTTATAGTTTCCTGCAAAATTTCATCTCAATCGGAGCAACGTAGCCTGTGAAAAGACAAAAATACCCCTGACTCTCATAGGTTTAGTCCAGTGGACAATTTTGATATTTTACAACACTAATCATGTCTGTTTACCCTGATATGTACTGAATTAGCCTTTGACCAAAACATGAAAGTTGTAGTTCTATGTCTTAGCTTTCCAACGCCCCTAGAATCACCTCGTTTGGACTTTGGTAGCCTGAGTTATTGTCATTTAAGGATAAAGCGGTTAACAAGCCCGAATGTGAGATTCTGGTTTTGTTATTTGAGATTTTGACTTAGATACACTACAAACTGGACTGAGTAGTCTTCATCAAAGTTGTAGACCTTTGTCTTAGCTTCGAAACAGTATAAATTTCACCCCAATCCGATAAGCGTAGCTTCGGTTGTGTCCGTTACGTAAAATAACGTCAAATCTGTCTTTTGTTTCTTGACTCAACCTTCATTTCCGCACACGCTCCTAGCTTGATTTTGTACTTGTATGACTTGGAGCCTATGGAATGGCTATTGAAATGAGATGATTTTGTATATGACTTTGGGTTTGATTGGGGAAAAGAATGAAGCCATAAATGGCTGGAAAATAGGTAAATACAAAGGGCGTGCTGCCCAAATTTACGCTCGAGAACTAGGTCGATATACTTGTGACTTGAGTAAGGCTTGAGAGCGAATACCACATGAACCATCTAGGGTATTTACGTTTTCTTTGCCACTTTGACTCAAATAGCGATTTTAAAGTTTTACAAATGAGTCTAAGTTTTACAAATATTTTACTTATGTCCTTTGGTTTCAATGTACTCTTTTCACTACCAAAACCATATTTATACTTTGTACTAGTACGTATTCGACTTGTCTTTGACTCACTTACATCTTTGATGGTTGAAGCATAATGTGTTCGTTTGATTATTAGGATTCCTTGGTGATTGAGAGTATTATCCGAAAGGAAACTTTGGACGTTATTTTGCTTAAATAGGTGAGTGTTCCTTGTTGTTATATTACTCTTGACTATATGCCTTGTTCCATGTTATGGATATTTGATTGAATGTTAAATACTTTCAATGATTGCTAAAATGAGTTTTCTAGGCGAGTGTGTACTTTATCGCACTCGACCTAAATGAATGTGAAATTTTCAATGATCGACTGATTATATATGCATGAATGTAAGCCATTGGCTGAACTGGGCCCTGCCCTTCGTTACTGATCGACTCGAGCCAGAAGCGGACTCGGTCGGGCGATTTAGTGACCTTGGGTGAACGTTTGGTATACTCGAATATTACCTTGTTGTCGGGTGGAGCCTGGCCAACGTCCAGGAGAGGGTGAATGAAATGAACGAATGAATGTCAATGCAAATGGGGAGTTTTACTTATCAAAATGCATTTTTAAATGATTGGAGGAATAAGGGGAATGACAGGAGAACGAACGAACGAACGAACAGCTCCCTGTGAGCCCGTATCCTTTTAATGAATGTGTTGTTATCGCTTTCCCTTGTAAATGTTTCTTGAATTGGATTGATAATTTGATTATGTGTTCGGAACCTCACTGAACTTTTAACTCATACCTTTAGTTTTGTTTTCCTTAACAGGGGAAGGCGAGTAAGGACGAGAGCTCGGTAGAGACTAGCCTAGACTAGTTTCTTTGATTTTGTAATGGTTCTCGCCCTAGTGCTCGGCATGGGTTAGATGTATGGTGAATTGAGAACCTTCGTATATTCGATGGTTGTACTCCCTTTTGAGATAGCAATGTATATAAGTTGTGCTTTAAGTTTTGGATCGTTGTTATGTTTATTCTTGGTTTATTCTGGTTTCGATTGAGGATTGAAGTGAACGACTGAGTCCCGGCGAGAGTTGGGCAGGCGGTCCGCTGACCTCTTTGGTTCGCCTTAGGGGGAGGTGGGGCTGTCACAATTCCATTATCATCTTACTTTTTACTTGGTTTAGTCTTAAGCTTAATAATAGGATCATTCAATACTTTGTCTAAATGAAGAGTTACAACCATAGTAGTTTCTTTTGGATTCACCTCAATGCTGTTAGGCAATTTTTTTGGTACCCTTTTCGTTACTACCTTTTCCAGTTGACCAACTTGCCTTTCAAAATTTTGAATGGAGGCTTGTTGAGATTGAGCGAGTCTCTAGATCTGATCCATCCTTTGGTCCATCTTTTGTATGTACTGTAGCATCATTTCTTCAAGGTTGGACTTCTTCTCCTGAGCAGGTTGAGGAGGAAATTGAGCAGTCAGTTGCAAATTTTGGAACCGAGGTGGTCCTATAGGTCTAACCCCTAGATCCTTCCATAAAAAATTAGGTTGATTCCTCCACCTCTCATTATACGTGTTAGAGAACGAATCATTTCTTGCTGCAACTTCTGCCCACCGTATGCTCCAGTGAAATTAACGTCTTCTACCAGAGTGGGTGGATCTCTATTATAGCAACTAATAGCAAAATGCCCAAACATGTGATAATAAGCACATGATTCATGATATTGAGTTACTCAATTTAAGAGCTGTTGCATCTGATGACTCAATTTAGTAGCCTGTGAACCCAAATCCCGTGGCACATTCTCTTCATGCACTCCTACCCTCTAACCTCGAATTGCTTTTTATTGAGAATTGCTAGCTAACAATTCATAGAGACTAACTAATTCCTTTAGGGTTTTGTCACCAATTTACTCTCCTACTGTAATATCCACCATATTTTGGGTTGTTAACGTCAACCCATCATAGAAAAATTGAACTTGCAATGCCAATGAATATTGGTGATGAGGACATTGAGAAAGTAGCAGCTTAAAGCGCTTCCATGCCTCATGTATTGGCTCTCCTTCTATCTAAGAAAAAGTGCAAACTTTGTTCCTTAAATTAATGGTCTTCTGAGGTGAGTAGTACTTGGTCATAAAGATGTTATAAACATCTTCTCATGTCCTCAAAGATCCTTTAGGTAGATGAAGTAACCAAGATTTTGCACGATTCTTGAGACAATAAGGGAAGCACCTCATTCATAAGTCATTTTCTAAGACTCTACTCAAAGGAAAAGTTTGGACTACCGAATAAAATTTCCTTATGAAGGAGAGTGGGTTTTCATTGGCTAAACCATAAAAAGCGTGCAACATGCTAAGGTGTATCGTTTTGACCTCATAGTTCCTTGCTTCGTCACTTACCCTGATGCAGTGGGGAGAAGCCGCGATCACAGGACTTTGGATGTCCTGAAGATGAAGTCCTGCAGGTGGTTGCACTATTTGCTGTTAATTATTGCCATTAATTCTATTCTCCTCAGCCATCTCTTCATCGTCAGAATTGCCCGACTCAGCTATCTCTAAAGTAATATGGAATCCTGATAAAGATGGTTGCAAAGTTTGTTTTTGCAAGCGAGTTTACTTCCTCAAATACTTTGCAGTGTTTTCAATTTCTGGGTCAAAATCCAAATCACCTTTCTGAGATCATGTCATACACCAAGCTCCTAAGCAAGAAAAATCAA